GTTTAGTGCCGATCTTCACCGTTCTCTCCGGCATATCCGGGTTTAAAGGCACCGTTTCCACTGGCTCTACTGGCTCTGCCTTCTACTCAACGCTCTCAGGTTGATGCTCAATGTCTGATATACTCATCGTCTGTTGACCGAGCTGGGTTGGCTTGCGACCTTCAGCACATGCTGGGGCTGCGGCGAGCTCGACCTTCTTGAACGTGTCTTGATAACAGGCTATAGCCATCTTTTGATTCCCCTTCAGCACTCCTACCCCCTGAGGAGTTGGGAATTTCATGCAGAGATGGGGCTGTGAGATAACAGCCTTCAGCTCGCACAGGGTGGCTCTTCCCAATATAGCATTGAAAGCTGATTCCATCTTAACAACTAGGAAGGTGACGGAAGCCATTCTGAAGCGCGGTTCTGAGCCCACATATATAGGAAGAGTAATAACTCCCTCGACCGGGACGGGCTGGTTATCAAACCCGTATATGGGCCCTTCATATTTCTGCAGTGAGTCCGGATTCAGCTGCATCTTTTGAAAACAACTCCAGTATAAAATATCTAGCGAGCTGCCAGTATCAATAAACACCTTATTGACATTATGATTGCCTATATGAACCGTTGCCACAAAGGGATCTGCATGGGGCATCATAATGTCAGGCTCTCCTTCTGCTCGCTTGTAATCTGCCGGGCTGAATGTGATAGGCGTATTCTCCCATTCTGCTTCCTCAAATGGCCGCTTCAAGGGTTTGTTTTTGTTGACAGTCATCACCTGTCGGGCATATGCCTTGCGAGCTCCGGCGCTTTGGCCCCCAGAGTGAACACCACATGATATCATGTTTATTGTGCCCGAGGGCGGGGGTATCCCAGCATAGCCTACCCCTTTTTTATCTTTTTGGTTCTGGACAGCAGCCCTCTGCCCCTGTCCTCTCCTGTTGAACGGACGCCCTCTGTACGCCCTGCCCTGCTCCGAAGGATATGGATTGTCCTGATATGCATCTTGTGCCCCGTCGAGCTGGTACCTCTGCCCCTGAGGTCGGTCATACCCCTGTACAAAATGGGTTTGAGTGGGTTGCTGGGCGTGGGGCTTCTGAACATATCCTTCTAGTTTCCCATTGCAAGCCAAGAACTCCAGCTCGTCATTCAGATGTTGGCAGTCTTCTGTGTTGTGACCATAAGTACGATGATAGTCACAATGCTTGCTCTTATCCGCCCTTGGGGACTCATACAGTGGGGGTGGGGGTCTTCTAACCCAGTTTTGTATTTGTGCAAGGATTTGGGACCTGGGCAAGGTTAAAGGAATGTAGTTGGCATACTTGGGGAAGTCAGCGGGCTTCCCCCACTGCTCGCTGACTTTCTGTTTCTTCTTTTCTTCCCTTCTCAGTGGCTGTTCCTGGCTTTTGCTTTGCTTATCATCAGCTCGTCGCTTGGACGACTGGAAGTCTTTTGATAATATGAAGCTAATCGACCTGTCATTCACTTCGTTCCAAGTCCTGGGTGGGTTCTCTAGCAGGTCGTCTAGGAACCGACCACGCTTCAAGCCATGTAGCAATGCAGACAGACAGATGGTGTCTGGGACATTATCAATGTCCAAAGTGGCTTTGTTGAATCGCTGCATGTAGTCCCTCAGAGATTCCCCTTCCTTTTGATTAACTTGCATCAGCTCGGTCGCCGTGCATTTGATCTCTCTCTTGCTCGCGAATTTGTTAGAGAATAGCTTGGCGAGCTGGGAGTAGGAATCTATCGAATGTCTGGGGAGCTTGTGATACCATCTCCTGGCTGTTGATTTCAGTGTTGCTGGGAACACTTTGCACATCATGGCATCATTTGCATTTTGAATTCTCATGATGGCTTGATAAGTGTACAGATGTTCATCGGGGTCGCCCGAGCCATCATATGTCTCCAGGTGAGGAATTTTGAATCCCTCTTGATAGGGTTCTGCTGTGATGGATAGATTTAGTGGAGCATTATCCAAATCCAGGGTCTGTTGGTGCGACCTAGGACTTTTCAGCTCGTCAATAGACTTTTGCACATATCGCAGCTGTCTTTCAAGGTCTGCGTTCTTTCTCATCAGCTCTTCACTATGCTTGGACGAGCTGGGTTCGTTATTCAACTTCCCACTTCCCCTTGGCCTGGTCGGCACCATTACGTTGCTTAGAGCAGGGGAGTTTCGAGTTGCAACAACCGTAGCTGGTTGCGCATCCCTGTTCAACAAAGGAATCAGGGGGTCGTCCGGAATCAGGCGGGCAAGGATTTTACCCATTGCCATTTCCAGAATTCTGGTTCTCTCTTCGAGCTCGGTTGTCCGAGCAGGTTCTGTTGACCTTTCAGGTCATTCACGCTGTGAATTGTATGGTCTAGAAGGTCTTGATCTTGTTCCTGTTGGGACGTGGAACTGTTCCGGCTGGGTTGCATACCCCGTTGGTGTTCTTTCATCATCATCCGTTTCGCTGAGGTGATCCTGTTTGGCTCCCCCAACGAAGAGGTTTCTTGGCATTGGCCTAAAGTCATTTAAACCGGGCTCAGACAGTTGAGTGTCCTCCTGTTCGTCTACTTCATTTCTTGGGGGGCGACCTCCTGTAAAAGTCCGAACTATTTTGTCTTTCAGCAGGTTAAGCTACACAACTTTTTGTTCAACTTCCCACAGACGACGCCAAATGTTTGGGCAGCTTCGCAATCTAACACTGTTGAAGTCCTCAGCTGCTTCTACACCTGAAAATCCAGAGGATGTTTCCTCGGGAAAAACACTCCAACGCTCAAGTCAACAATACTCAATATTCTAGAGAGAGATGCTCTCAAAGAGTAATTGCGGAGAGAGAAGCGTAGAGATTAATTACCTTCATCAGAGGTAGTTGGGGGGTATTTATAGCCCCTTGGTGCTGACATACATCTGCACGTGTGAGCACCCCATTGGCCCACGTGGCGCTGGTCACGTGGGTATGCTTGTACTAATGCTCCTTCAGCTTGGGCTAATAAGTGGTAATCTAGGCTCGTTATGCACAGTCCTATTTGGGTGTTGGGCCTATGCACAGCCCTGTTTGGGCATTGGGCCTATTCCAACAACATTCAAATTTGAATGTGAAATCTTTGGGAGTGCACTCATACTCGATGGGTCCAAAGCAATAATTCTAATGTGAATGGAATTTATAAAACGAAAAGGGAAGCTTCAAGTTTGATTTCTAGAGCATTGGTCCAGTCTAGTGTTCTAAGCAACCTATCAGGGGTCAGATTCAAAGAATCTTATAATGTAGATAAGCTCTTTGCATCACACGTTTTGCCTATGGATATGCTTTCTCATATTACAATATTATA